TTTTCACCTCTCTTAGCGGCTGGCTCTGTTTCGCCTGGGCACAATGTCCTCTTGCGGGGTTTTCTTTTGTTTTTGTTTCCCCTGCCTGGTGGGGGGGGGAGGGTTTGCCCCTTGGGTTTGGTCAAACCCATTTATATCTTGGTGGTCTTCCACTAGGCCCCTGTGAGTGTACACATCCCGGGGATTCAACTTTAGCAGTTTGATTGGTAACTTTGGATGCCGGTAAGCAGTACCCTGCCTGGGCTTCCCTTAGCAAGATTATGCAACTAAAAGCCCTGGGAAACCCCGCAGGGGCTATTTGGTTTAATGGATACAACCCCTGGGTCCCCTCTCACTTCGTGCGAATTTAAAGGTTGCTGTCCCCCTAATCTCATGGTGACACTCACCGTTTGTGCCTCCATCATGCTGCCTGTTGAGTTGGTGACACCTTTGACCCGGAATCCTGTGAGTCTTGTTCCTTGTTCTCCAATACACCTAGTTCACTGATCATGATATTGATCAGTGGACTAGGTATTGGTGCAGGCAGCTCTGGCGTTGCATGCTCGATTTGGTTGCTGCAGCGCACTAGGTTAGTTGCTACCCCGGTTGCCCCAAGACTGCCCCGTTTTGGTTATAGGGACCCCAAACTTGGGGGTGTTAGTTGCTTCGACTTTGGTTCAGTCTGCGCTCCTAATGCTGTTCGTCCTGGTCCTTCCTCCCCTACTTCCGGCCCCAAAGCGTCTGAGGGTTTCAGAGTCGGGGCAAGGTTTAATTGGTGTTGAAACTTGGGCAGTTTCGGAGGATGCCCCTTGTGGTCTGGTGACGGAGGCATTCGATCATTTTCCTCCAACCGGAGCTTCTGGGCCTGACCAATGGGCCCCCTTCATTCCTACTTTTTCGGCTGCTCCTACCTTTTCTTCTGAGGCAAAGGACTTGTAGGGCGGCTCGACCCTATGTCCTCATGGGGAAGGTTCTCAGGGTAGGGGAGGGGTTGACTTGGGGGCCTTGGGCCCCATTCGACCCCTGCATGAACATTCCTTGGGTTTTTGTACCCTCTGAATGGGGCTTGATGTTACTGGGAGTGGGGTTTTCTTGTCCTCCCTCCTCGTACGAGTTGGATTTGGCATCAATCCGTTCCCGGTTTGGTTCCGTGCTCCCTTTGGTTCTTCGGTCCCATCCTTCCGGAGGTTTTCGGCCTCCCGCTTCCTGCCTCATGTGGTTCTTTGGTCCCATCCTTCCGTAGGTTTTTGGCCTCCCGCTTCCTGCCTCATGTGGTGCTGGAGGCCATTGCGACTTACCTTCTGCGCAACCCGGATTACACTTTAATAATGGATCTTTCTTCTCTCGTGTTTGGATCTTCTTTTCCTTGCTGGGTTTGTTATGAGGTTCCGGAGTCGTCCGGGCTTGCGGACCACCCATTTTTTTCTCACTGGTGGCATGGAATACGTTCTGTGGGTCCCGCGCACTTAAGTGGTCCAAGGCCCATACAGTGGTCCAGGTTTACCTGGGGGGGTTATTTGGAGCACCTCAAAGTGTGCTTGTTTGCCCCTGCCCTTCATGGGATGTTTGCGTTGTACAGCTTCATATGCAGGTTCCCACCCTCTTGGCTGTACTGATCACTGAGAACTTGTGGTCCCGTAGCCTATTGGCGTTGGTCTTGCAGTTCTTTTCCCTTCTTGAGCTGTCCTCGGACTGGCTTGAGGAGGACGTGGAGGTACTTAGGGGTCGATCCTGGGTCTGGTGTGTTGGTCTCGGCGATGCGTGTATCGTCTGCTCTTTGGAGCTGTTCGCACCGACCTTGCGGGATGTGGTGTCACTGTTTTTGCTTCCTGTTTCACGTGTCGGCAGGCAGTGCTTGCTACCTCCGTGGAATTCACTTGGGCATTGGATCTCTGGTTTTCTTTGCCTTTTTGTCCAATGCTTTTTTCAGAGTATGCATTGGTGCAGTATCCGCAGGCAGCTTATTCCAATTGTCATCCCATGTCGGACTTGTTGGTTCTCAGGGGGGCTCATGAGGGGTCTTCCCGGAAGGGTCGTGCCAGGGCTTGGGGTTCCTCCCATCGTGTATAGGCCAGTGGTGTCAGTTTTGGAGCCGACGCAGCCTTCTGAACCGTCTTCTTCTGGCTGGTGCAGTGATTGCTCTGTGCGGAGGTCGGGTTCATGTAAAAGGGCATCAGCCCTTTTGCGGTTCGTCCCACTGTCATTGCACAGCAGTATTCCACTCTAGAGAGCACAAGCGTTTTGAAAAGTATCATCATCGGTATAGTATCTCTAGTGTGAAAAGTTCTTGTTATCCAACCTGTCATTTTTCTTGTTTTAATCCCTCCCTTTCAACCCAAGAAGCAAATTAGAGATCAGCCCAAGCTTCGTCTTGAGGCAAAGCTCAACGCCTTAAGCCATATTGATGCTCTGTTCACAGAGCATTCTCTCTCTCAAATCATATACACTGATGGTTCCCTACACCGTCCCACGGGTGCAGCTGGAAGTGCAGTTGTCCTGACAATGGGCGATGGCTTGGACTTTGAGTGGGGAGTCCGTATAAACAACTGGGCCTCTACCCTTCAGACCGAACTATTTGCCTTGCTCCTTGCACTGAAATGTGTGCAAGTCTCCAAACTTGATACATTAATTGTAAGTGACTCCTTATCATCCTTAAATGCTCTCAACTCTTTAAGACATAACTGTAACATGCTCGTGTCCGAAGCTAGACACAAATACAACAAAATTATTAAGGATGGTAACAGAGTCCATTTCATGTGGTCTCCATCTCATGTTGGCCTCCGAATGCATGGTAGAGCTGATAAGTTAGCCAAAGAATCTGCCTTTAAAGGAGCTGTTGAGTGTAACCTTGGATTGTCAATGAGCAATCTGAGGGCAGCAGTACACCGAGAACTTCAACAAAATCTTGTAGATCTGAGGCAAAGTGAAATTGACACCAGTAATTCCATCTATCATCATACTATCATGCAAGAGGAGCCACACATCTATGGATCATCCAATAAAATCAGCAGACTTCTAGATGTTACTACTGCTCGGCTTAGACTCGGTTACAAGTATCTCTGGGAATTCTCATTATCTGCTGATGTAGACCTGACCAAATGTAAACTGTGTCAACAAAATTATTCGCACACCCTCCGTCACTATGTGATGGAGTGCGAAAAGATACGTGAATTTAAAAACAATTCTATAACCAATGTTCTAACGATGTGTAAATATTTCATTCAAAATGATCTGCTACCAGAAATTTTAGCCAAATATCCCCAGTTTGGTGACTGTAGATAGTAACTAAGTGATTGTAACCTATCCACCGCTGCCCACTGGATGGGGGGCGGTGTGCAGGACAAACATATCAATTGTGATTCTAGCTCTCCACATATGTCAGTTGCTTAATTTAGAAACTGTACTTGAGGTCGATCTCGAACCCATTGTTGATGTGACGACTTACACTGAATTTTGTAACTAGCTCATCAAGATTGTAACTTGCTTAGCTAAATGAATTGTGGGGTTCAGTCCCTGAGCCCATTATGTGCCTCTGTAACCCATTCCACTACTGCCCACAAGATGGGAATGGGGTGCATAATAAATGAACTAAACTAACTAACTGTGATTTCTGTGTGTATAAATGGTCAGAGTTTCTTTCATCCTGATGCACCTGTTCACCTAGCAGTAAATAGATACCCGGAAGTTAGACAGCTGCTACGGGCTGCTTCCTGTGTGTAGGGAGAGGGAGGGAAATCGGTTGATTGATTGACAGTTGAGAGGCGGGTCCATGAAGCCAGAGCTCAACCCCCGCAAGCACAACTAGGTGAGGACAGGGTGTGTTGTAGAGGCTTAAGAGTTTTGGAGAGAAAGATATCGACTAATGAATTTATATCCTGTGTATTGTTGAGTTCAGGTTCCCAGTTTATATTATAACGTGCACTTATGAGGTTCCCTATTGCTGGTTTGTTGTGTAGTCTAAAGGTAAGTTTATTGGTAACTGAGGGTGTTATGTCCATGTTTGCTGAGAGGAAGGTAGGATAGTGATCAGTTGTTCTGTCAGTGATTATACCAGAGACAAGGAGGGCTGTAATATTAGTCCATATGTGGTCAAAGGTTGTAGCAGATGTTTGAATAATTCGTGTGGGCTTGGTGATTGTGGGGATTAGCATACAGGAGTTCATGTTATTTAGGAAATATTCGACTTAGGGGCAATTTTGTTGACTGAGGTCAATGTTGAAGTCATCTCCCAGGATGATGTGATTTTTGTTGAGTTTGTTGTTGATGATTAGTTTCCTTATATAATCAGGGAATGTAGTTTTGTATTAGTATTGGGAAATCTATAAATAGCTCCAATAGTTATTTACGATTTAAGGGACTTGACCGAGAATTGAGCAAAGGTATATTCACAGCAGTCGTCTCTAATGCTAATAACACTTGTGCAATTGAAGTTATCTTGATAATAGATAGCTGTACCACCTCCTTTTTTGTCAGGCCTGCAGTTGTGAATGGCTTTATATCTGGCAAAGTTGTATATCTAGTTGGGTATATGGTCTTCACTTAGCCAGGTTTCTGTTAAGATAATGAAAAATAGTTTAGAGTCCAGTTATGTTTCACATAACGTTTTGCAACTCCTGCTGTCGAGAAAGTATGAGTCTTACATTCACTCACTTTTTAAACGTTCAAGGCAGGCTATGTCTGAGGACACGTTGGGTATAGGAACAAAGAATATGACGCCGAACGTGATAAGATTGATAAGATTGTTATCTTATCAGAGTCCTGTCGGGCGAACGCCGAATCAGCGCCTTTCGTGTTTCCATTATCTCTCCCCTACTGCAAAATCGGTTAAAGTATTATTGAATAGTTAAACCAAAAACTTAACTTCCACACTTTGACTGTACAACTTGGCGTGTTATTTTAGCTCTTGGTGTTGATGATAAGATCACATTTGGGTGGCGGCGGCGGCGCCGGTAATCTGAGCGGAGTCTTGTGGGAAGCCTGTGTCTATGGCCTGACCCACACGCTATCTTAAGTCGTGTTTATCATCTCAGTAAGCAGTATGTGGAGTCCACACCCAGCCTGCCTGCCTCTCGCACTCGTCCTGTGACGCCCCGCGGGAATATTGGTAGCAGAATAAGCGCCATAGCCACCGGGATACATACAGGAGAGAAACCATTTGCTTCCATTGGATTGACAGCCTAGTGCAGTGCAAGTGAAATTTGATTTTTGAATTAAAAGATACATATTGTGGTGACATTAATTTACAAGCACATTGTATGGAATTGTTTTTAGCATACTTGTGTTAACTTTTAAGTGTTTAGGACTCAAAGAACAACTATTAAGTGACTATACAGTCGTTGATATCATGATCGAGTATTCATACAGTGTATCATGAGTATTCATAGTGTATCATGAGTATTCATTCAGTAGAGCCTAGAACTTTGCCCAACATAGTATAGTACAGGCCTGTGTTGTGTGCCACAGCCTATCACAGGACCACAGCATTAAAGCTTACATCTGAGCACCAAAACTGAGAGCGTAGCACCAGAGCCTAGCCGTGCGCCTCGCCTGTCCTTCAGTGGTGTATAAACATTAGGCTTGTTAATGTGTACAAGTGTGTGTACGCCCTCGGGGTTGGCTGTGGGCGTGGGGCAAGAGACTCGTGTTACCGGCAGCCGCCTCATATACTTGCACACACATGCATACACACGTACACTCATACGCAACCACACATTAGCGAACTCTTATTCATACGTACTCACATTCACTTGAACGCACACATTAGCGTACTCTTATTCATTCGCACTCACACTCGCTGAACGCACACATTCCACGCACACAAATAACTCGCTTGAAACACGCATACATATTGAGAAAGAAAAGCACACACGTCCCACTCTCAAGGGAAATTGCGAGTGAAGAAGCGAGCCCAGGAGCTAAGTCTTCACAACCGCAAGCAACTTTAGTGTTAAGGTAGCACCCAGACAATTCTAACCCAACATAGCGGTGTTAAAAGCCTATAGTGGCGATACGACACTTTTCTCATAAACATCAAAACAGCTTCCCACTAACACAAATGTTGTTCTGCACGATATAAACATCCGGGGAGTCCCTCAACACAAAAAGCCTAACCTCCCCACCTCGAAAACAAGGAATAATCGCTACCAATATAAGTTCATTAGGAAGGAAGGCTTTTCAACGGGCGGGAGATAAACAGGTGGAGACATATGGTGGCTTGATACACACTTATATATACCTCCATCACATCTATATACCTCTATACCCCTCTCTCCTCTACCTCTATCGCCTCTCTCCACTACCACCATCACCTCTCTCCACTACCACCACACAACCTCCACTACCACCACTGCAACCTACATCGTTGCCAAAATCTTTAAGGAAACGTCCAGTTGGTCTCTCTAACTACCACCGGAACTCATTTTCTCCAACACCACAACCAGTACAACCCCGGGCCCTATACCATCCACCACACCATCCCCGCCACAAACACCCCACCACAACCACCCCACCACAACCACCCCACCACAAACACTCCACCACAATCACCCTACCACAAACACTCCATCACCACAACCATCGCCATGAAGACTCGACCAAGCATGAGAGTGGCCTTCGCCCCGCTCCCGCTGGAGGAGGAGGACACAGAGGCAGCTGCGGCTCTGAACCAGGACGCCGACCACCACAACTGGAGCCCCTCCACTACAGTCAAGCCCTGCAGCTTCACCTACTGGAGCGAGGTGAGGAATAGGTGCTCCTGTGACTCACAGGAGCACCTCCTGTGAGTCACAGGCTGTGAATATTCATCTAAATAAGTACCCGGGAGTTAGGCAACTCGTATGGAATACTTCCTGGGGGGGGGAGTCTTAAAACTATATAATTGCTCGTCTTGAAACCCCCTTATATAACTACCTTTGAGTTAAAGAACTTTCAAGTCCAATAACCATTTCTCAGATCATACTGTTCTACTGTTCATTTGCAACGTACTGCAGTCATCCTCACTTTTTATTCGCTTCATTACTTTAACATCGTCTGCAGACATCGACACCAGTAAGCTTACTCCATGGTAATCGTTCACGCGTATTTGGTACGGGCCCCTTGTAGTAGAGTCCCTTGAGGTACTCCACTCGTTACCTTTTTCCATTCTGATATCTCTTCTCTCACTGTGGCTCTTTGCCCTCTACCCGAGAGGTACTCCCTCACCCACTCTAGTACCTTTCCCATTACGGTGATGAGGACACTGTAGTGAAGATGGTTACAGTGAAGAGGACACTGTAGTGAAGATGGTTACAGTGAAGAGGACACTGTAGTGAAGATGGTTACAGTGATGAACACTGTGTAGTGAAGACGGTTACAGTGATGAGGGAGAGAGGAAATTACCAGGGGGAAAGCGCCAAGCCATTACGACTGTACAGCACTTGGAAAGGGTCAGGATAAGGATCTGGGATGGGACGGGGGGGGGGGGAGATGAAATGAGATGCTGTTATATTGGATATTTATACTCCTTGACCCTACGGTGTGTGAGTTTGCTATAGTTTACCTCACCGTCTTTCATTCATAAACAGGGGGTTTGGCGAGTGCATGGAATGGACTTTGGCCTTTGTTTACAGCCCGTCCTCCAAACAAAGACCCAGGTTCATTCCATGTACCCGCCAAACCAGCTGTTTATGAATAAAAAACGGTTTACACACGACTCACAACTGATGACATTCGAACACTTCCGGAACAAGTGCTTCGCTGACGATTTTTGGTATGAGGTATGCATCATTTGGAATGCATCGGACGAAGGAGTGGGGAATGGTGGGGGAGGACGAGGTGACGAGGAAGTTGGGTATGGTGGGGACGAGGGGACGGGAATGGAGAATGATTGGGAGGCCAAGGGGATCAGGAGATTGGGGGATTATAGGCAGGACAAAGGGGACGGGGAAGGGGGGAATGGTAGGGAGGACAAGGGATGGGGAGTGGGAGATTTTAGGGAGGACGAGGGGATGGTGGAGTAGGGAATGGGTTAGGAGGACGAGGGGACGGTGGAGTGGGGGATGGGGGAGGGAGGACGAGGGGACGGGGGAGTGGGGGATGGTGGGGAGGATATAGGGATGGGGGAGGGAGGACGAGGGGACGGGGGAGTGGGGGATGGTGGGGAGGATATAGGGATGGGGGAGGGAGGACGAGGGGACGGGGGAGTGGGGGATGGTGGGGAGGATATAGGGATGGGGGAGGGAGGACGAGGGGACGGGGGAGTGGGGGATGGTGGGGAGGATATAGGGATGGGGGAGGGAGGACGAGGGGACGGGGGAGTGGGGGATGGTGGGGAGGATATAGGGATGGGGGAGGGAGGACGAGGGGACGGGGGAGTGGGGGATGGTGGGGAGGATATAGGGATGGGGGAGGGAGGACGAGGGGACGGGGGAGTGGGGGATGGTGGGGAGGATATAGGGATGGGGGAGGGAGGACGAGGGGACGGGGGAGTGGGGAATGGATGGGAGGATGGAGGGACAGGGGAGTGAGGAATGGTTGGGAGGACGAGGGGAAATGGTGGGGAGGACTGGAAGATAGGGGAAGGTTGCTGTGGCTCAGCAACGCACATGCGTTGCTGAGCCATAACAACGTGTGGCCGAGCACAGCTAGTATGCTAATATATTCTAATATTAATTTATATCTATAAAAATTCCCGTTTTGAATGAAAAGCATGTAAAAATTTATGAATGAATCTGTGGGGTCGACCGCTGGGTGTAATGGACATGAGTCAAGGACGGGTTACTGGATGGAATGAACTTGATCCAAGGACAGGCTGTTGTTGATGAGGAGGCTGTTGTTGATGAGGATGGGCTGTTGTTGATGAGGATGGGCTGTTATTGATGAGGACGGGCTGTTGTTGATGAGGACAGGCTTTTTTTTTGCAGGGATATTCCTGCGCGGGCCCTAAGCCTCTGGCTGGCCCACTAAGTGTTGCTTGTTTCTGTTTTACTTGGGCGGAGTATGAGTATTTATGACACGTATGGTCGCTTCAGTAAGATTTTGTCCCATGTGTTTAACAACTTCTTCTGCTCTGTTGAATCTAAGTTGAAATCTTAATGGGTTTGTAACTGTGCACTGTGTTAGATAATGTTCCAGTGGTCTGTCGGGCATTTCTCCACAGTGTTGACATTTCCTCACATTTTCCGGAACCTGTAAGCCTATTTCCCATGCACATGGGTATCCAAGCCTGATGCGATGTAAGTGTACTTCTGTCGTTCTACTGCTCCCTTTCACCAAACTAAGTGGTTCGTAGTTGGTTGAATTCTTGTACCAATCCGTAGATCCTGATGTTGCAACTGCTGTGTTGTGGTCACTGTACATCTTTTGCATTGCTCTGTTTCTAATTATTTTCTTAATCTGAGATAGACTCTGTGGTACGTAAATGTCTACATTTCTTCTCTTAGTTGCAAGTTTTGCAGCTTCATCTGCAATGTCATTTCCTATTATTCCCACATGACTTGGCACCGACGGCCTTGACGTTTGAGTGTTTGCATTAATGATATGACATTTGTGATCAGATGTATGTTATCACGTATGTGTTCTTGTTGCAAGGTTTCACTGGCAGTTCTCGAATCTGTATGTATGATAACATGTTATCGGTGTTCAGCAAGAGCATGTTCCAAAGCCTTTTGAATGGCTAGCATCTCTGTTTGTAAAGTTGAACACCCATTTGAGAGTCTCCAACTATTTACAGAGTTTCCTGCTTTAACTGCAGCTCCGGTTTCTTGTCCCTGCTGGTCTACTGATCCATCTGTGAAGTATGTGAAGCTGTCAGATGCCAAGTTTGCTTCTATATGCATCTGTGCAATATTATGTAGCAGATGAGAATTAGTCTGGTTCTTTTTTTCCTTCAAGAACCATAATCTTAAAGTCTGCTGGCGGAGATTCCCAAGGGGCTTGCATAACAAAGTCTGCATGTATTTAGTCGACACCCTTCTCAGTGATTGTGTTTGTTATATCGAATGTATTGATGGTGTTTATCGCACAATGGGTCCACCTGTTGCTATTAGAGGCTCTTCTGTCCCGAGTTAGTGCTCCAGTGATTATATCTTTAAGTGAACTGATTCTAGGTCTAGTCAATATCTTGGTCAGCATGCACGCAGCGATCCCTTTTACCCTTATTTCAATCGACGTTAGCTTGGTTTCTAGTCTTAGGTTCAGTATTTTAGTCCATCTGGGAGCTCCTGTTATGATTCGCAACGCATCGTTTTGAATAACCTCAACGTTTGCCCACTGACCAGGAGAAAGAGTGAGTAAGGCAGGCGCTGCATAATCAACCAGGGAACGAACGGCGTGTATGTAAAACATTGTTAACACTTTGTGTCCCGCTCCTAGACGGGGCCCTGTGATTGCTCTCATTATATTTAGTCGTGATTTTGCTTTCTCCTTTAGATATTGAATTTGCTTGTTGAATGTCATTTTAAAATCTATCCACACTCCGAGATATTGATATTGTGTAACCCACTGAAGGTTAATGTCTTGAATGTGTAGGTGCCTGTCTGGAGTGTTGCCGCCTAGTCTCATTGTCTTAGACTTCTGTGCAGATATTTTTAGCCCTAAAACACTGCATTCAGATGTTACTTTATCTAATGCACCTTGTGCTTTATTTAAAAGTGAAGGACCTGTAATGACTAATGCTATATCATCAGCATAGCTTAGCAATTTAACCCCTTCTGTAAATGTCATGGTAACAAGGTTTTCCATAAGGATGTTAAAAAGACTAGGACTGAGGACTCCTCCTTGTGGAGTCCCATTCTCGTGCAAGTGGCAGTCCGACACTTGTCCTTGCAACTTTACTCTGGCATACCTGTGACTTAGGTAATTTTGAATCCATGCTAGCATATTTCCCTTTACACCTTTTTTAACTAAGGTGTGTAAAATTGGTTGCGGGCTTGCAAGTTCGAATGCTTTTTCTAGATCAAGGAAGATCACTATAGCTGGACCCGAGTTAACTGTTCCTAGTAATGTTGCTATGCAGTTTGCAGTACCTACTCCTCTAGTGAAGCCAAATATGTGTTTATGAAGGTCTTCAGTCTTCCACAGTAGCCTATTTAAGACCATCCGTTCTGCAGTTTTACTAATGCACGATGTTAAAAATGGGTCTGTAATTGCCAGGTTCTTTCCGCTTAGGAATTGGTATGATGTCTGACGAACGAGTCAGCCAGCCAGCCTGCCAGTTAGCTATACCAAGCCAGTCGATCAGTTATAGCCTGTCAGCCAGCTAGCCAGCCAGTCAGGCAATCAGCCAGCCACACAGTCAGCCAGCCACTCAGCCACACAGTCAGTCAGCCAGCCAGCCACTCAGCCACGCACCCAGCCGGCCAGCCACTCACCCAGTTATGGAGTCAGATCAGCCAGACCTTCACGATGCGGGATTTCCTGTGTGGAGTGTTGAGGAGTCTTTGTTAGGCTGGTCTGTCAGTGTTACGGGTTGGTGCCCCGGTGTTGGTGTCCTGGTGTTGGTGCTCCGGTGTTGGTGCCCCGGTGTTGGTGCCCCGGTGTTGGTGCCCCGGTGTTGGTGCCCCGGTGTTGGTGCCCCGGTCTCATTGTTCCGTAGTTGGTGCTGTGTTATTGTTCCTTGACACTCCATGTTTGGTTAGTGTTGGTGTCACGCAACTAGTCTGGTGCAAGCCTCGCATTGTTCCTTTTGTTTTTGTGTTGCGCGAGGTTCGTGTTTTATGGTGGTGGTGGTAGATGGTGGTGGTGGTGGTGGTAGATGGTG